AGGCTTCAGTTCCCTACAAGCTGTTGGCCAGAGGCCTTCCTTGTTTCTTGCCACATGAGCCTCTCTGTAAAGCGTCTTACAACATGGAGGTTTTGCTTCATCAGAGCGAGTAAGAGGGCAAGAGAAAGTGCCAGCAAGAGAGAACAAGCTAGCAAGACGGAAGTTATAATCTTTAGCAACCTGATTATGAAAGGGACATCCCATCACTTTTGCCATGTTGTATTTATTACACAAGTGTATGAATACCAGAAAGGCAGGGATCATTGAGAGCCATGTCAGAAGCTACCCATCAAACCCATGCCTAATGGGGCTATATCCTGTGTGAATCGTGTGTGTCCTAGGTTGAGGATATGACCCTCTAGAAAGGTTTTGCATTTCCTCCTCCCAGGCATTCCACGATAGAGGACTACATTTTATATTGTTCTCTGATTGAGTCTGTGAACACGTGGGTAGTGAAACTGAACTATAAAATTGCTTGATGTGTAAGCTTATAGATGAATTATCTGGTGAGCTTATATTATTTTTTCACATATGACTTGAGGCCAAGACAGACAAGCTTTCTTGTGATCTCTGTGTACTGGTGGACTTTTTAAAAATTTTAACCCTTTTACTGATGGTATGACCCCTCAAAGATCCTAGCTTTATGCATAGTTCTTAGTTCCTGCTCCTTACATAATTCAGCCCCAAAGCTTCATGACCTGTCCTCATGGGGATATTAAATCTCAAGCTTCCAGGTAACTGACAAGTTAACCCCCTTCACAGACTACCACTTATCACTCTTGTTTTCATGTCTTTTTTTTTTCTTTGCTCTCACCATGTAGTTGCAAAGATTGTTTTCAAAATATAATCCAGCATTTCCAGGGGGTTTTATACTGGGAGGGGCTTTTTGGTTATCTGTATATTGCCAAATTGGATGTCCTTCTATTTAATGTTTAAGCATCCATTTGTCAGCATCAAAATTAATGTGTATGTTTTCTTTTAACCGAACTTTTAACAGTTTTACTATTATCCCCATCATGTTCCATTGAAATAAACTGGAATTTTTGTTTCAGATTATGGCTTTTTTTTTTTTTTGAGATGGAGTCTCGCTCTGTGGCACAGGCTAGAGTGCAGTGGAGTGATCTTGGCTCACTGCAACCTCCGCCTTCCGGGCTCAAGCGATTCTCCTGCCTCAGCCTCCCAGGTACCTGAGATTACAGGCACAGATCACCACGTCCAGCTAATTTTTTTATTTTTTTTTAGTAGAGACAGGGTTTCACCATGTTGCCCAGGCTGGTCTTGAACCACTGACCTCAAGTGATCCGCCCACCTCAGCCTCCCAAAGTGCTAGGACTACAGGAGTAAGCCACCGTGCCTGGCCCAGATTGTGGCATTTTTAATATTTATTTTGTATTTTAAAAGTATATTTTATGGCCAGGCACAGTGGCTCACACCTGTAATCCCAGCACTTTGGGAGGCTGAGGTGGGTGGATCACTTGACGTCAGGAGTTCTGAGACTAGCCTGGCCAACATGGTGAAACCCCGTCTCTACAAAATACAAAAATAGCCGGGTATGGTGGCGCATGCCTGTAATCCCAGCTACTCAGGAAGCTGAGGCAGGAGAATCATTTGAACACGAGCGCCAGAGGTTACAATGAGCTGAGATAGCACCACTGTACTCCAGCCTGGGCATCGAGACTCTGTCTCAAAAAAAAAAAAAAGTATATTTTATGATTTTTTAATTAAGCTTCCATAGTCTTAAAAATCATTTTTAACAATTTCATTAAGCCTGACAGCTACTACCAATAACTGCTTTTTAACTGTTTTACTAAAATATTTTCTTAGCTTTGTTACATTGCTTTTTTTCTGATTTAATAGATTTTGTTTGTTTGTTTTTGGAGGGTATCCTTGAGTAATTCTTTGAGAATGTTTTGAGTCCTTGGATATCTGAAAATAGCTTTATTTATTTATTTTAAAATTTTTAGAGATGGGGTTTCACTGTATTGCTCAGGCTGGAGTGCAGTGACTATTCACAGGCACTTTCATAGTACACACTACAGACTTTTAACTCCTAGCCTCAAGTGATCCTCCCACCTCAGTCTCCCAAGTAAGTAGCTGAGATTACCAGTGCATGCTACCACACCTGGCAAATAGCTTTATTTTTGCTTTGACTTCAGTAAATATCTTTTTACTTGGGAACACTGACTACATGGCTCCATTATTTTTTTCCATCTAATGTTATATATAGGAATTCTGATGCTAATCCCAATTAGATGCAGTTCTCTACTACTTCTGCTACTTCTGATAGAACGTTGTACTTTTTAAATCCTTTGGAAAACTCAATATCTTATAGTCTTTTTTCATTTATCCTGCTTCACATCTATTAGATCCTGTCTAAAGATTTTTATGGATTTTCATCTTTTGAAACAGGAATTTTTCTTCTTTGTGGGTTTTTTTTTGTTTGACGTGGAATCTCACTTATTCTTTTGCCCAGGCTAAAGTACAGTGGCATGATCTCTGCTCACTGCAACCTCCGCCTCCTGGGTTCAAGCAGTTCTCTTGCCTCAGCGTCCCAAGTTGCTGGGGTTACAGGCATGTGCCACCATGCCTGGCTCATTTTTTTATTTTTAGTAGAGATGGGGCTTTGCCATGTTGGCCAGGCTGATCTCAAACTCCTGACCTCAAATGATCCACCCACCTCGGCCTTCCAGTGCTGGGATTAGACATGAGCCACCACACCCAGCCTATAGATTTTAATTGTTACATGTCTTCTTCATTTCACTGGGATTTAAAGAAGAAAATTATGTATATTTAGCCAGCCATTTGAAACCAGTTCTGTTGAACAATAAGAGCACAGGAGTAGGTAATCTTTTATATTGTCACATTAAAGCCACCAAGAAAAATAAAATGAAATGTTAAGAAAGAGTAGCCATTGAGTTAGGTATTTTTTTGTTTTTCTTTTTTTTTCTTAAGAGGCTGTACTGTACAGTGTTCCAAATAGATTCTTTTTAAAATTTTAACAAACACTATAAATAAAGAGAAAACGTAGGGAAGGAGGAAGACGGGAAGACAAGTTTGCAGACAGATCTACAGGGAAAACACTGAGACACTTTAATTTGTGTAGGATGATAAAAATATGTATTTATCAAATATTTGCATCTGTGACACAAAAGCAAAATATGGATAATAACATTGTTAGGACTGGTACCCTTGGAGTTATAAAAATGGTGAACAGAATTTTCATCCATTTTATCATCTATGTTGGATGTGCCACATATGTGTCCATAAAAGTACCTACAAGTTTATGCCAAGTGAATCCTACAAAAAGATGCTTAGATCCCAGAGAATGTCTCGTAAGTGCCAAAGAGGATAGGTGTGCAATCTGTAGTAATACAAGAGACAGTGTGAGAGAACTGGACAGGAGGATACAGAGGACACTTCAAAGGACTTGACCTATTTATACAGGAGGTTGCAATTTTTTGAATTGCAAAATGAGACCTTGGCAACGACCTTGAGCAGTAGTATATAACTGCCACATGCTTAGTGTTCCAATAATGGAACACAAGGCATAAATGTGTTAAATTGGCTCTTAAAGAATGAGTACAATTGGATGAGTATTCAGGAGAATGGAACAGAAATAGAGGCAACACAGCATACTTATTAAAAATTATTCTAGGCCGGGCGCGGTGGCTCAAGCCTGTAATCCCAGCACTTTGGGAGGCCGAGACGGGCGGATCACGAGGTGAGGAGATCGAGACCATCCTGGCGAACACGGTGAAACCCCGTCTCTACTAAAAAATACAAAAAACTAGCCGGGCGAGGCGGCGGGCGCCTGTAGTCCCAGCTACTCGGGAGGCTGAGGCAGGAGAATGGCGTAAACCCGGGGGGCGGAGCTTGCAGTGAGCTGAGATCCGGCCACTGCACTCCAGCCCGGGCCACAGAGCGAGACTCCGTCTCAAAAAAAAAAAAAAAAAAATTATTCTAGAGGCAGATTGCTGAGTTCGAATTTTGACCATGTCACTTATTTGCTGTATCACTTTATTTTCACTTTGGAAAAATGACTTCTCTGTGCCTCAGGAACAAAATGAGAATAATAGAACCTACCTTTTAGAGTTGTTATAAGGAATAAATTAATCCACATAAAGCATTTAAGACAATTTATGGCATCAACTATAATTGTTAGTTGCCATGATTATCATCATCATCTTCACAGAAGGACATTTTGGAATTATAAATGGACAGATTGTATTCACTGACTAGTACATGAACCAACCTGCTTCGAATACACAATTCATACTGAGTCCACACCGTGGTGGTCTTGAATTCCAGGCTAAGAAATAGTTAATTATTCTTTTATTGAAGAGGAAACAAAGTTATATACAATGTCCTAAATTGCCTAAGTCTTTTTTTTTGGAGCAGGGGGGGACCGAGTCTTACTGTCGCCCAGACTGCAGTGCAGTGGCATGATCTCGGCTCACTGCAACCTCCACCTCCTGGGTTCAAGCGATTCTCCCGCCTCAGCCTCCTGAGTAGCTGGAATTTTTATATTTTTAGTAGAGACAGGGTTTCACCATGTTGGTCAGGCTGGTCTCGAACTCCTGACCTCATGATCCGCCCACCTCAGCCTCCCAAAGTGCTGAGATTACAGGTGTTAGCCACTGTGCCCTGCCAATTGCCTAAGTTTTAACTAAAAGGCCCAGGGCATTTGAACTTCCCTTTGTGTTTCTGTCCATTCTACAGGGATTCTGAATGAAACCACTATTTCAGGAAGATTTATTTCAGTAATATCCGTAAGGCCTAAATTTAGGTGATGGTGAGAGAAACGGGTAAGGAAAGGACAAGTTCCAAAAATGAATGGAATTGAACTAGATGATCCTTCGGTTCTTTTCTAGCCCAGACATCACTGATGACTTTCTTACCTCTCTAGGTTAGAAAATCTTTACATAATATGATGTACTGTATATAGTTTTTTATTTCCAGAATTTGTAATATATGTTTTTCTCATGTATGTTTTTCTACAGGTTTTAGATGGAGCAGGATTAGATATTGATTTCCATCTTGCCTCTCCAGAAGGCAAAACCTTAGTTTTTGAACAAAGAAAATCAGATGGAGTTCACACGTAAGTAATCTCTTTTAGTTCAGTTTCATTGCTGAATAATACCAGTGGGCTATCTGCAGGGCATGGAAAGTTAGCATATTTGATACTACACATCAATATTAGATAATTCCATATGATTTTAAACAGTTCATGATAGTGGGCCATCTGATAAACCAAAACATTTTCCATTAACCTTTCTATTTTTGTTTAAGCGTTTTCTTTTGATCCAGGCTAAATTTTTTCTGTGCTTTGGTTAGTAAATTAGTATTCCCCTGGTATTGCATTCAATCTATTGTGGCATTTTAAACCTGCCTTCTGGCCAGCACAAGCTTTCTATTTTAACTTACAGCTACTGTTCCAGGTATATGTCTTAAAGTTTCTTGAGCTGCTGGCTATATACCATTTCTGTTCAGTTTCTTTCTTAAAACAACAGTACAGTATATTTTTGTGTGTATGTAAATTTTTTTTTTGACTCAGACCTCATTCATTTTAGATAATCAGAAGGCCTGAGGCCAGGCGCTGTGGCTCATACCTGTAATCCCAGCACTTTGGGAGGCCGAGGCAGACGGATCACAAGGTCAGGAGATCGAGACCATCCTGGCTATGATGAAACCCCATCTCTACTAAAAATACAAAAAACTTAGCCAGGCATGGTGGCGGGCACCTGTAGTCCCAGCTATTTGGGAGACTGAGGCAGGAGAATGGCATGAACCCAGGAGGCGGAGCTTGTAGTGAGCCCAGATTGTGCCACTGCACTCCAGCCTGGGCAACAAAGCGAGACTATATCTCAAAAAAGAAAAAAAAAGCCTGAAAGCAAAAGAAAATACTTGTTTTAACTCTTTGAGTTCAGAATTAAGCAAAAGACCATATATTCTTCTGACACCTCACTTCCCTCTTTTCATATCTCACTGGTATTTGTCCCAGTTCCATTCTATTATCTTACTATAACATTTTCTTAAGTCAATATTGTTAATGTGTTAAACTGTGAATCTGTAGGAAGAACAAATATGGAGTATCTAGTATTTGCTCTAAACAAGGGTTGGCATGTTATATGCTTCTAAATTAATCTTTCCAACCCACTATGAGATAGAGTCTTTGACTCAAGATTCCCATTTTATAGACAAGGAGGCCCAGAGAAGTCAAATAAGTCTGCAGGGATACACATGCAGGGTGGAGACAAGATGGACCAAAACTCTTGCTTTCTACCATATGCTTAGAACATCCCTGGCACATAACACTATTGTAAGAACTAGCTATTAAAATTATTGGTCTTTGTTAACCAAAGTGCCTGATACATAATTGATACTCAGTAAACACTGAATACATGTATGAATGGATGAGAGGAAAAAAGTCTCAGTAATTTTTTAAGATACTCATTTAAAATACATTTTTAAATGGCATTTTACCTATGCAGAGCTCAGAAAAATATTTGCATAAGCTATTACTAAATACGATAGAAATAGTAATTGTAAAAGTCAGTTTATATTGATATGCTTGGAATTAACTGTTTTCTCTTTGATAGATATATAAGAACTAAAAATGGGCCCCGCACAGTGGCTCACGCCTATAATCCCAGCACTTGGTGAGGCCCAGGTGGGTGGATCACGAGGTCAAGAGATTGAGACCATCCTGGCCAATATGGTGAAACCCCGTCTCTACTAAAAACACAAAAATTAGCTGGTCATGGTGGCGCACACCTGTAGTCCCAGCTACTTGGGAGGCTGAGGTAGAATTGCTTGAACCCCGGAAGCGGAGGTTGCAGTGAGTCGAGATCACACCACTGTACTGCAGCCTGGTGACAGAGACTCCATCTCAAAAAAAAAAAAAAACCAAAAAACTAAAAATATAGTTCAAGTTTCAGAATTTTTGAAATGTTCAAAATTTATATCAATCTTTATTTCTCCCCAATTATTTGCTCCCTTTTTGAGATAATAAAATTCACTGTTAGAAAAATAAGTATCTGGCCGGGCGCAGTGGCTCAAGCCTGTAATCCCAGCACTTTGGGAGGCCGAGATGGGCGGATCACGAGGTCAGGAGATCAAGACCATCCTGGCTAACACGGTGAAACCCCGTCTCTACTAAAAAATACAAAAACTAGCCGGGCGAGATGGCGGGCGCCTGTAGTCCCAGCTACTCGGGAGGCTGAGGCAGGAGAATGGCGTAAACCTGGGAGGCGGAGCTTGCAGTGAGCTGAGATCCGGCCACTGCACCACAGCCTGGGCGACAGAGGGAGACTCCGCCTCAAAAAAAAGAAAAAAAAAAAAGTATCTTACTGCTTCCTTGTGTTGAATTACCTCTCATTAAATAATTGGGAGAAAAGAATTGAGTTTATAATTGAGTTCACATTTATTGCATTCTTTTGATGTGCCAGGCCAGTGTTCTCAGCACTTTTCATGTACTAATTTTCTTTATTCTTAACCACAATCCTGAGGTAAATACCATTTTACCGATGGGGAAACTGAGGCATAGAACAATTAAGTTGCTGAAGGTTACACAGCTAGTAAACAGCAAAGCCAGGATCTACATACAGGCAGTCCAACTCACTCTTAATCATTACACCAGATTTACAAATCTATTTTTTTTTTTTAGATGGAGCCTCACTCTGTCACCCAGGCTGGAGTGCAGTGGCGCGATCTCGGCTCACTGCAAGCTCTGCCTCCTGGGTTCACGCCATTCTCCTGCCTCTGCCTCCCAAGTAGCTGGGACTATAGGTACCCGCCACCATGCCCGGCTAATTTTTTGTATTTTTAGTAGAGACGGGGTTTCACCGTGTTAGCTCAGTTGGTCTTGATCTCCTGACCACGTGGTCCACCTGCCTCGGCCTCCCAAAGTGCTAGGATTACAGGTGTGAGCCACTGCACCCAGCCTACAAATCTGTTTTTCAAACATTAAACAAAGCTTTTATCTGTAGCTATATTAATTTTGTAAGAGCAGCAAAAATCTCAGTATGTCACTGGTTTTTCTTAAGTAGTCTTTTTTTCTTTTAAATGTAATTTCTTTTTTTAAAGACAAGGTCTCACTCTGTTGCCCAGGCCAGAGTGTAATGGTGTGACCATAGCTTACTGCAGCCTAAACTATTGGGCTCAACCAAGCCTCCTGAGTAGCTAGGACTACAGGTGTGAACCTGGCTAATTTTTTATTTTTTTGTAAAGACAAGGTCTCACTTTTGCCCAGGCTAATCTCGAACCCCTGGCCTACAGTAATCCTCCTGCCTCAGACTCCCAAAGTGTGTGATTATAGGTATGAGCCACTGTACCTGGCCCTACTTTTAACTTTTGCTAATATGGGAAACTAATTGTAAGTAGGGTACTGGTCATTCAGATATTATTGATTTTTTTTTTTCAGCACTAGGCATAACTAATGATGGGCTGAATTACCCTTATAGAATTAATAAAATATAAACTAGTTTTATTTAATTCTCAAAGCATTTAGGATTAAACATAAACATCTACAAGGGAACCAGTGATAGTCAATAAGCAAAATCAGTAAGAGGCCTGGAAGAAAACATGTAGGATAATCCATCACTGCTTTTGAAAACAAAACTCAGTTTAGATTAATCTCAATTGAAGGGTAGGTTGGCAGTCATATCTGCATATGAATTGAACTCATGATAAAATACTTTTAATAGTGTATAAATATTAAAGTTTATTATGAGTTATGTATACAGGTTTTTAATTCTATCCTTTTCCAAAAATGAGGTCACTAACCATAATTTACTGAGTAAATGCCAAGCATGTCTAAGTTGTACTCGAACGTATATATTTTCAGGTTGCTTCATTCCCAAGAAATTATAAATTATCTTTCAATACTAAGGAAATTCATGAGTAAGCTGTCCAATTATTATAAACTATGTTATTTCTTTGTTTTTGTTTTGTTGAATTTTTTGTTTGTTTTTATTTTTTTGAGACAGAGTCTCCCTCTGTTGCCCAGGCTGGACTGCAGTGGCGCAATCTCAGCTCACTGCAACCTCTGCCCCTCCAGGTTTAAGCAATTCTGTGCCTCAGCCTCCGGAGTAGCTGGGATTACAGGCGCATGCCACCACACCCGGCTAATTTTTTTGTATTTTTATTAGAGACGGGGTTTCACCATCTTGGCCAGGCTGGTCTTGAACTCCTGACCTCGTGATCCACCCACTGCGGCCTCCCAAAGTGCTGGGATTACAGGCATGAGCCACCGCACCTCTTGAGACAGGACCTTGCTCTGTTGCCCAGGCTGGAGTGCAGTGGCATGATCATGCCTCACTGCATCCTCAACCTTCCGGGCTCAAGCAATCCTCCCGCCTCAGCATCCCGAGTAGCTAGTTCTACAGATGCCAGCCACAATGCCCTAATGTTTGTATTTTTTTTGTAGAGACAGGATTTTGCCATGTTATCCAGGCTGGTCTCAAACTCCTGAGCGAAAGTGATCTACCAGCCTTGCCCTACCAAAATGCTGGGATTACAGGCGTGAGGAACCACACTCAGCCTGTTAGTTCTTTCTTTTACCTTCTTTTACCTTTAGTTGCTTTTCATCACAAACAGAAGTACAAGTAACTAAAAACATGTACTTTTTTTTATACAGTGTAGAGACTGAAGTTGGTGATTACATGTTCTGCTTTGACAATACATTCAGCACCATTTCTGAGAAGGTGATTTTCTTTGAATTAATCCTGGATAATATGGGAGAACAGGCACAAGAACAAGAAGATTGGAAGAAATATATTACTGGCACAGATATGTTGGATATGAAACTGGAAGACATCCTGGTCAGTATGGTCTTCTAATAAAATAAAAAGTATTAACATCCAGAGCCCTTAGTATGGTAATGGTTACTGAACTAAGCATTTTATCTGCATTATCCAGGAAAATCTGTTTCTAATATTTTATTTTTGCCATAAATACTTTGACCTCCATTTCAAGTATCAGCTTAATTTTACTTTATATTCATATAGCCCTTTTATAGTTTTCAAATAACTTATCTTCTAGGACCCTATTATAAAAATAGCTTTTTTTACTTTTTTTTTTTTTTTTTTTTGAGACGGAGTCTCGCTGTGCTCCCAGGCTGGAGTGCAGTGGCGTGATCTCGGCTCACTGCAAGCTCCGCCTCCCGGGTTCACGCCATTCTCCCGCCTCAGCCTCCCAAGTAGCTGAGACTACAGGCGCCCGCCACCACGCCCGGCTAGTTTTTTGTATTTTTAGTAGAGACAGGGTTTCACCGTGTTAGCCAGGACGGTCTCGATCTCCTGACCTCGTGATCCACCCGCCTCGGCCTCCCAAAGTGCTGGGATTACGGGCTTGAGCCACCGCGCCCGGCCAAAAATAGCTTTTTTCAGATGTGCAACTAAGACTGCATCTTGGTAAGTTTGTTTTATAAATGTGCAGTTAGAATTTTTAAAATTATAAATAGCTTATGCTTCTGATTATACAGAAGGCACATGAAAAATAAAATGTTTTCTAATTTCACAACTATTTTGTGGTATTAAAACATTGGGTGTTTTACTGAATACTAAATTGGTCAGATTAACATACAAAGAAGGAAATATAAACACATGCATCATGTAATAGGTAAATACCTAAAGTTGTATCTGTTGGGTTTTCAAAAAGGAAATCATTTGCCAGGCATGGTAGCAGGTACCTGTAATCCCAGCTACTCAGAAGGTTAGGGGGAGGATCATTTGAGCCCAGTTTGAGGCTGCAGTGAACCATGGTCACAGGTATAAATAGATACTACACTCCAGCCTGGGCTATTATATAGCAAGACCCCATCTCTAAAAACTTAATCATTTGGCCAGGCGCAGTCTCAGGTTGCAGTGAGCTGAGATTGTGCTTGGGTGAACTCCATCCGCCTGACAAAAAAAAAAACAAAATCTTAAGTCATTTCCTTTGGTTGTGTGAGGGCTAAGAAACAGATAATGTATGTAAAACTCCTGATGCTATGCCACTCAGAACAGTTTCATGTTACCTATTTTCAATTCACAGTAGCTTTGTTCCCTTGTTAAATAACTACTTATAAACAGTATAAATATGTCAGGAGAATTATTACATAACCTTACAGAGAATCTCTAATATAATATAAATAGTACCTGCCCCTCAATTGTGCAGCCATCTATCTTAAAATTGTGTTTGGATAAAAAACATAAAGCATATTTTGAAAAAAAATATTTTTGAGACAGGGTCTCACTCACTCTGTTGCCCAGGCTGGAGTGCAGTGGCACCATTATGGCTCATTGCAATCTCAGCCTCCTGGACTCAAGTGATCCCCCACCTCAGCCTCCCAAGTAGCTGGGACCACAGGTGGTGCTACCATGCCCGTCTTTTTGTAGAGGCAGAGTCTCTCCGTGTTGTCCAGCCTAGTCTTGAACTCCTGGGCTAAAGGGGTCCTCCTGCCCTAGTCTCCCAAAGTTCCAGGATTACAAGGCATGAGTCACTGCACCCGGCCTCATTTTTTAATTAAAATTTCTGAGCATTCTTTAATAAAAAAAATTATTTTATTTACCTCCAGGAATCCATCAACAGCATCAAGTCCAGACTAAGCAAAAGTGGGCACATACAAACCCTGCTTAGAGCATTTGAAGCTCGTGATCGAAACATACAAGAAAGCAACTTTGATAGAGTCAATTTCTGGTCTATGGTTAATTTAGTGGTCATGGTGGTGGTGTCAGCCATTCAAGTTTATATGCTGAAGAGTCTATTTGAAGATAAGAGGAAAAGTAGAACTTAAAACTCCAAACTAGAGTACTTAACATTGAAAAATGAGGCATAAGAATGCAATAAACTGTTACAGTCAAGACCATTAATGGTCTTCTCCAAAATATTTTGAGATATAAGTGTGAAACAGGTATAATTTTAATGTGAAAATTAAGCCTTCACTTTCTGTGCAAGTAATCCTGCTGATCCAGTTGTACTTAAGTGTGTAACAGGAATATTTTGCAGAATATAGGTTTAACTGAATGAAGCCATATTAATAACTGCATTTTCCTAACTTTGAAAAATTTTGCAAATGTCTTAGGTGACTTAAATAAATGAGTATTGGGCCTAATTGCAACACCAGTCTGTTTTTAACAGGTTCTCTTACCCAGAACTTTTTTTGTAAATGTGGCAGTTACAAATTAACTGTGGAAGTTTTCAGTTTTAAGTTATAAATCACCTGAGAATTACCTAATTATGGATAGAATAAATCTTTAGACTACAAAAGCCCAACTTTTCTCTATTTACATATGCATCTCTCCTACAATGTAAATAGAATGATAGCTTTGAAATACAATTAGGCTTTTGAGATTTTTATAACCAAATATATTTCAGTGTAATATATTAGCAGAAAGTATTAGTCTTTGTACTTAGCTTACGTTCCCAAAAGCTGACATTTTCACGATTCTTAAAAACACAAAGTTATATTTATTAAAATTAGGACATGTTTTCTCTTTGAAATGAAGAATATAGTTTAAAAGCTTCCTCCTCCATAGGGACACATTCTCTCTAACCCTTAACTAAAGAGCAGGATTTAAAAATTAAATGTGAGGTAAAGTAAGTTTATTTTTAATATTATCTGTCAACAGTTAATATCTGTCAACAATTAATAATCATGTTATGTTAATTTTAACATTGCTGACTTGGGTAATTCATTATTACCAGCAGTTGTGAAGGAAATATTGCTAAAATGATCTGGGCCTACCATAAATAAATAGCTCCTTTTCTGAGTTCTAAGAATTATCAGAGACAAGAAAGAATTTAGAAAAACTTGAGGACACCGAATCCAAAATAAAATTCACTTAAGTAGAACTATAAATAAATATCTAGAATCTGATTGGCTCATCATGACATCCTACTCATAAATCAAAGGAGATTAATTTCCAGTTAACTGGAAGAAATTATTTGGCTGTAGGTTTTTATTTTCAACAAGAATTCTGGTTTGAATTATTGTTTGTAAGCAGGTACATTTTATAAAATGTAAGCCCTACTGTAAGATTTAGCACTGGGTGTACATATTTATTAAAAATTTTTATTGTAACTTTTATAAAATGGCCTTTCTGAACACTTTATTTATTGACGTTGAAGTAAGGATTGGAAACATAGACTCCCAAGTTTTAAACACCTAAATGTGAATAATCCGTATATACAATAAAGTCTCTGCCATCTAGTTTTTTGAAGTCTATGGGGATCTTACTCAAGTACTAATAATTTAACTTCATCATGAATGAACTATAATTTTTAAGTTATGCCCACTTATAACATTGTTTATGACTACATTGTGAGTTAGAAACAATCAAACAAAATTTGGGGTATAGAACCCCTCAACAGGTTAGTAATGCTGGAATTGTTGATAAGCAATAATGATAACCAGAGACAGTGATTTCATTTGCACTCATAGTAGTATAAAAGGAGATACATTTCCCTCCTTAGGCCCCTAGGAGAAGAGCAGCTTAGATTTCCCTACATGCAAGCTTTTTAAAAATGAGGTAAATGCCATATATGATCGATTACCTTAATTGGTCAAGAAAATGCTTCAAGTGTCTAGGGGTATCCTCTGCAACACCTGCAGAACAAAGGTCAATAAGATCCTTGCCTATGAATAGCCCTGCCTTTTGCCCTTTCTGTTAAATTTGTAATGAGAAGCAAATTTACAGTACCATAACTAATGAAGCAGGATACATATATAAACTACTGCATCTTTTCTATAAAACTGTGATTAAGAATTCTACCTCTCCTGTATGGCTGTTACTGTACTGTACTCTCTGACTCCTTACCTAACAATGAATTTGTTACATAATCTTCTACATATATGATTTGTGCCACTGATCTCAAACCTATGATTCAGTAACTTCTTACTATATAAAAATGATAATGGCTTTATTTGGAAAAGAATTTAGGAATATTTAGGACAATTACTTTTACAGACAAAGTAAAAAGACTGAGATATTTAAGAGGCATAACCAAAAAAGCAAAATTTGTAAACAGAGTAAAAATCTTTAATATTTCTAAAGACATACTGTTTATCTGCTTCATATGCTTTTTTAAATTTCACTATTCCATTTCTAAATTAAAGTTATGCTAAATTGAGTAAGCTGTTTATCACCTAACCGCTCATTTTGTCTTTTTCAATATACAAATTTTTAGAATACTACAATATTTAACTAAGGCCCAACCAATTTCCATAGTGTAAGCAGTTACCATGTTCACCTCACACTAAGGCCTAGAGTTTGCTCTGATATGCATTTGGATGATTAATGTTGTGCTGTTCTTTCATGTGAATGTCAAGACATGGAGGGTGTTTGTAATTTTATGGTAAAATTAATCCTTCTTAAACATAATGGTGTCTTAAAATTGACAAAAAGTGAGCACTTACAATTGTATGTCTCCTCAAATGAAAATTCTTTATCTGAAATTTTAAAAGAAATTGATTCAGCATGTAAGGATTTTTCATCTGAAGTATAATAATGCACAATCAGTGTTGCTCAAACTGCTTTATACTTGTAAACAGCCATCTTAAATAAGCAATGTATTGTGAGTACTAATCTGTATATAATAAAAATTATCAAAGAAAATGACCAGTCATTTGTAAATGCTGTCTACTCCTGAAAGCCTTCCTTCATCTCAGTCTTAGTTAATAATGTGCTCTCTCCTCCTGTTTTGAAACCTCATAGCTCTCTACACCTCTTATTGTACATCACTCTACTTTGCATTGGAGTTCTGTTTCTGTATGTACTTATTCACCTGCCTAAACATGCATTGTTCCTAAAAGGTACAATTTTTGCTCCAACTATATGAAAGGAAAGATAATCAGTTTTTAAAGTCTGGACCCAGGGAACTTACCCTGCTAAATAAGCACCCAGGGAACTTACCCTGCTCCTCTACCTCACCCCAGAAATTGATTATTTAGGTCTGGAATATGGCTCAGGATTCTTAATTTTTAACCAACACAATATAGAATCCTGTCAGTTATCCTTGGGTCATCTGCTTAGTGATCTTGTAAAATCAAAACTCCTTTGAGGCTATTTCATTTTCAGAAATATTTTAAGTAACATCTTAAAACTTGTTAAAATAGCATATAGGAAAGTACAATGCTTGGTGTAGGTAGGTTATTATTTGGTCATTTCCCTCAAACCATCCAGACAAGCCACTCTTCTACCACAAGCTGGTAGAAATCCTTAGGCACCTTTCTGCTTCTGCACTGCTATCACTTTCAGGTGTCTAAGGCTTCTGGAAGGCTGCTGTCATAACCTGGAGCCATACACCTAATGTATGTCTAGGGAAAGGACACCGATTAAAGAATCTGGAGCTAGGATGATGTTACATAAGAGAGGGCACATGGAGATGGACTCTGGATCCCTGCATCTGAAAAAAAAGGCAAGAAAATGCAGTGCAGGGAAAATCCTGGAGGTCTTCACTGACCATGAATTAAAATCCTAATTGACAGTTTTACAAAAACCTTCCTGTTTTAGTACTTGTTTTTGTTTCTGTTTTAACAAGCTTAGATTTATTATTGTGCCTTTTATAGAATATGAGGAAGAAATAGGAAAGCAGTAAAATGAACAATGAGAATCTGTTATCCAAACTGATATAAACTCCCTCAGAAAGAAAGATACTACTCCCCAATCCTGGAAGTGTTAAGTGGCAATAATGATCACATGTTGTAAAGGAGATTGTTAACTACGGCTAGTATCAAATGGGAAGCTGGAGTAAATCTAACCTTTCTTCCCTTGATTTCAATTCTAAAAGGACAAGTAATACCATTGCAGAAAGAAAAGACAGTTCCAAATGATAAATTTTAGAGTTGTTTTGCTAGGATGCAAGAGAAATTGGATAAGTGGACCACTCATACGTTGCTGGTGAGGTATGAAATAGTACAGCCACTGTGGAAAATATTCTTGGCAGTTTCTTATAAAACTAAACATGCATTTAACATATAACCTGGCATTTGTACTACTTGACAGTTATCCCTGAGAAGTTAAAACTTAACATTCACAAATGTTACATAGTACCTTCATTTACAATAGCCAAACCCAGAAACAACCTGGATGTCCTTCAAAAAGAGAATGAATGGTTTAGTATGTCCACACCATAGAATACTAAAGAGTAATATGAAGGAACAAACTACTGATACATGTAACAAATTGGATGGACCTCAAGGGAATTATGCTTGGGTGGTTTGGGGGGACAATCCTAGTTTTACACACTGTATGATTCTGTTTTTGTAACATTCTTAAATAATAAAGCAATAGAGATGGGAAACGAGATTCTTGGTTCAGGTCTTGGGACTGAAGGGAAGGAGAATGTGGCTATAAAAGGAGCCCTGTGGTGGAAAAGTTCTGTAGTTTGATTGTGGTGATTACATAAAGATACATGTGAAATGTTAGAAGTATTTATAGCTGAAACAGATATTAGTATGTTGGTATATACATATTTCTGAATGACTAATTACTTTCGCCATGTTGCCCAGGCTGGTCTCGAACTCCTAAGCTCAAGTGATGTACCCGCCTCAGCTTCCCAAAGTGCTGGGATTAGAGGCGTGAGGCACCATGTCCAGCCTGTTTTTTCCTATGCATACATAATTATGATCAAGTTTAATTTGTAATTAGGCACATTAAGAGATTAACAATAGCTAACAAAACGGAACAATTGCAATAATATATTGTAATAAGTTATGCAAATGTGGTTTCTCTCTCAAAATATCTTGTACTCACCCTTGTGAGGTTGTGGGATGTCATACAATGCCTAAACGAAGAGATGAAATGCGGTGACTGATGTAGGTGTAAGTGATGTAGTTAGGCTACATTATCATCAAAATAGCTTCGGGTGAGCCTGGATCACTAAGCCAAGGTAATGTTGATGGTTGGGGATCCTCAATAGGTGAAGGATTTCTCTTTTGGGGGTCTTTTTGCTGAAAAATTTTGGAAGAACACTGTAACCAGAAGTTGTTGACACTTTTCAGCTCATCGAAGTGTTGCTGCAGAGATTATAATCCTTTGGTGATCATATTGGTGACTTTAATGCTGTGTCCCATCTGAGGATCATATTCTATAATTCATGGGATCATATTCTATAATTCTGTTCTTTAATGTCTGTGCAATTCAAAATACTTTGGCAAGTTTAATTAATGTCTCTGTTGGCGATTCTGCTTCAGTTTATCTCCTCTCTCTCTGTAGATGACTCAACAAGTTCTTCCAATTCCTAATTTGTTAACACTTCTTGATGGCCTTTGATATGCTCCTCTTCATCAAGCACGTCAGCAAATCCTTCTTCACAAGTTTTGTGAAGGATTGTCTTGCTACATGATTTAAAATTGCCATGGGTCCCTAGGAAGCCTTTAAGTCATTTATGGTATCATTCCACATTCGTCCAGCAGGAATTTACCTGTTTCTGGTTTTAATTCATCCACTGCAGCTTTGATGAATATTATGGCATGAGCAATAGTGAATGATTGCCAGCACTACATTATATACATATTAGGGTCTGCAGCAATTGCTGATCAAATGTGTTCAAATATCAGGCAGTTGTTTGTGGCCTTGACAAACCAAATGATGCCCTGGTCAGGGACTGAGGCAGTAAGGTTTTATCTGGAGGTAAAAATGCCACCTCAACATTTTTATTTTCATAGCAGACAGATTCATGTATTGTCCATTATTAATACTTTAAATTCTAACCCTTTCTCTTTCAAGTATTTTTCACTTCTGGGATGAAGCATTGGTGGAACCATTCCACAAAGATGGCTGTCACCCACACTGATTATGTTGCCAGGACACATAATTTTTTGTTTTGTTTTCGAGAGCATGTAGGTTCTTCAATCTATACACTACACCTAACTTTATCGTATGGCCTACAGCAATGTCATATAGTACCAGAGTTAATCTGTTCTTCCATGTTGTATGCCCTGATGCCGCCGCATTTGCAGTTTTATGAATGTAAGTTCTATTGGACATCTTCTTCCACAAGAGCCTGATACTGCAATTGAAAACTTGCTTTGAATGGTATCCTTTCTCCTTAATCAACTTCAACTCTGTTGGAAATGAGGCAGCAGCTTCTTCATCAACAGATACAACCTCTTCAGTAATTCTTAAATACTTCAGTCCAAACCCATTCTTGAATCTGTGTAACCATCCCTATTTGCAGCAAATGGCTTGGTATCACTCATTTCAGGGGATCCCTTGCTGAATGTTGGTATAGGCTCAGTGCTTTCGGGGCAACACACTGACGTCAGTTGGAACACATTTCTTTCTGTCCATGTCTTCCACCCACAAATTTAATCCATTTATGCCAGAGGTTGCAAAATTTGTGAAAAATCAGACCTTGGCAATGACGTTGAGCAGCAGGATATAAATAACTCCCATAAGCTTAGCATTCCAATAATAAAACACTAGGCATAAATGGGTTAATGCCTTTTTCATCTTAAAACTAGCACGAATGTTTTTCCTTCACAATTTCATGAAGATTTGTAAATCTCTGCATATAATTTTCTTCTCAAGTACCTTCACCTTTTCAGTTTATGACTTATCTTTGGCATATCCAATTGCCATCATCTCTACACTTATACCTTGGGGCCACTATAAAGTAAAATAAGGGTTACCTGAACACAAGCACTACAATACTGCAATAGTTGATAGGATAACCAAGATCATTAAGTGTCTAATGGTGGATAGCATACACAGCATGGATAGGCTGGACAAGGGGATGACTCTTGTGCAGGGTGGGACAATGAGTGTGAGATTTCATTACGCTACTCAGAATGGCATGCAACTTAACACTTGAATCCACAGACAAGAGGTGACACCATAATGTCTTTGAAAATGCTAGGTCCTCAAATATTGAGTGACATGCGCATTCTCAACTCCAGGCCTTATTCTGCTCCTTCATGTTGAAACTAGATTTTCTCTCACTTAGCCTCTATTCAAGCTAACCCATCCTTCAAGGTAAAACCTAACAAATATTGCAGTCCAGATCAATCTCATTTCTCCAGCAATACAGCACATATTTTGATACCTGTAGTCATATACTGTTTCAAATGTTACTTAATAATCACACTTATGTCCTAACTCTCCAAGACAGTACTATTAAACAATACCTTCAACCTCACCTCCCGTAAAATTCCACCTCCTTGATTTTATGCTACGTCTTATACTATCCAATTTTTGCCATTTAAGATCCTATCATCCTTCAAAGCCAAATTCAAATAGAATTCCCTTTCAATGAAGTCTTTCCTTGGTATCTTTCTTAGGCTTACCCTAAATTTCAATGGAACTTTGTACCGATATTCCATAGTAATTATCAATTTCAACTCAAATTTAGTTGTATTTATGTCTGCATCTTCCATAATTTAAGAACTCAGAGCCAGGCTCCTAATCTTTCCTCCATCTCTTCACAGCAACTCACAGGCATTCAAAGCATGATTGCTGAATTTGAATAAACGCTTAATACAACCACACAGAACTTTACATCTCAACCACTTTCAGAAAAACTAAAGCATACCAAAAAAAAAAAATCCTGTAATACTATAGTGAGTTGACTTGTGTTCCCCAGGAAAAGATATATCCAAGTCCTAACTCCCAGTATCTGTCATTGCAACCTTATTTGGAAACAGGGTCTTTGCACATGTAATTAAAGATCTCCAGATAAGATCACCCTGCATTTAAAGTGGGCCCCAAATCCAATGACTGTTGCCCTGTAAGAAAAGGAGAGGAAGACTGGAAATAGGGGAATGCCTCATAAAGATGGAGGAAGAAATTGGACTGGTATGTCCAAGAATTACTAGCTGCAACCAGAAGCAATAACAGGCATGGAAGGGATTCTCCCTCAGAGTATCCAGAAGGAATCAACCTTGACACAAACTCAATTTTAGACTTCTAGCCTCTAGAACTCTGATAAACTGCTGCTGTTTTATGCTGCCGAGTTTTTGGTAACTTGTAGCAGCTCTAGGAGATTAATATAAAGGCCTCAATAGCAGAGCCCCAGAAAAAAATTTTTAGAAATAATAGCAATAATGAAGTTAAGAAATAAACAGATTTCTTTAACAAAAGCCATATTTTGCCTATACTTATGATGAATGGGATTTTGATTATAAAGCAGTGGCTCATTTTATATTAAGTTCAGCACAACCTCTTAAAATGTCTTATGTTAAAAGTATATTCTTAAAATGTAAAACCAAAGCTATTATCATATTGACTATTCTCTCTCTCTTGTTCTATGTGTGTACACACACACACACACATTTTTTTGAGAGAGTCTCATTCTGTCATCCAGGCTGGAGTGCAGTGGCGTGGCCTCTGCACACTGCAGCCTTGACCTCCCAGGGATCCTCCCACTACATCTTCCCAAGTAGCTGGGACTACAGGCTTGTGCCACCATCCCCAGCTGATTTTTGCATTTTTTGTAGAGATGGGTTTTCCATATTGTCTGAGGCTGGTCTCAAACTCCTGGGCTCAAGTGATCCACCCACCTTGGCCTCCCAAAGTGCTGGAACTACAGGCATGAGCCACTGTGTCCGGCCTAGACAATAATTTTTAAAATTCATGCAATTTCTAAAGAGAATGATCCTAATTAAGTTCTACGTTATGATGATTATTTTCAGTACAATCTATGTCTTTGAGATGGAGTCTTGCTCCATTGCCCAGGCTGGAGTGCACTGGCGCGATCTCGGCTCACTGCAAGCTCCGCCTTCCAGGTTCATGTCATTCTCCTGCCTCAGCCTCCCAAGTAGCTGGGACTACAGGCACCCGCCACCATGCCCGGCTAATTTTTTTGTATTTTTAGTAGAGACAGGGTTTCATCGTGTTAGCCAGGATGGTCTTGATCTCCTAACCTCGTGATCCGCCTGTCTTGGCCTCCCAAAGTGCTGGGATTACAGGCGTGAGCCACCGCACCTGGCTCAATCTATGTCTTAATGTTCTTAATGGTGAAGTTACACATTTTGGACATAAGACTAGATACAGCCTTATATTTTGCTTATTCTTTATAAAGAATTGTAGGCCAGGCGTGATGATTCACACCTGTAATCTCAGCACTTTGGGAGGCTGAGATGGGCAGATCACGAGGTCAGGAGATCGAGACCATCCTGGCTAACACAGTGAAACCCCGTCTCTACTAAAACCACAAAAACAAATTAACAGGTGTGGCACACGCCTGTAGTCGCAGCTACTTGGGAGACTGAGGCAGGAGAGGCAGGAGAATCGCTTGAACCCGGGAGGCAGGGGTTGCAGTGAGCCAAGATCACACCACTGCACTCCAGCCTGGGTGACAAA